ATTAAATCTGATTACTTTCTGGCTGCATTCTTTCTGCGCACGCCCTCCATCTTGAAGTAAATGCGTGGGGACATTCGTGTCTCCACTTCTAAAAAATGGCACCTTCCAAGCTGGACTGGACCAATGCGGAGAATTCGTTTTTTTTCAAGTCCAAGAAAATAAAATGAACAAAGCTGGGTTAGACTGATGTTTCAGACATATTAAAAACTGCTGGAAAACTTTGAGACCCCACCAAGTTTCTGTTTTACGAAAGCATGGACAGCTGTTTTGATTAAATGCGTTGGCGAGTACTGACATAAAAAATCTTCAATCAGAATGAAAAATGTGCATGTAAGCGCAGCTTGTGTGTAATCAGAGATCAGTGAATCCTGCCCACAAACGGAGCAGAGAGCCCTGTAAGACAGTGCCATGGAATTTTTTCAGTTATGCTGATGACAAAATTTCACAAACAATGCACCTACTCACGAACAGTTGGCATTCACCAGGTTGAAAGAAGAAATTTAAGACTCGTTTGAAGGGAAGGTATGTTGAATCAGACATCAGATTTGTGCGGGCAAAGTTGACGGGGGAAAAAAAAACGAGAGGTTGAGAAGAAAAGTATGAAAATGTTCTTGCATGAGGCCCAATGTGCTGCAGTCAGGCTGCGGGTCCACAGGAGTTTGAGCATTGAATGTCAGTGTATGTTAACACTAATCAGTAGCATTGTCCTTCTGCATGCTGTCATTTACATGTGGTTAATAGCTACTGTTTGCTTACCTGAATTACTTAAATGAACATTCATTTTCTTCAGGCTCAATATGTGAGCAGTATCACACTATGAAAATGGAAAATAAAAAAATGAAATGCACATCGTCATTAGCCTAATTGGTTTCATATATTCAACCCACGTTCTCCTCAGGCAGTTCTACTTGCTCGTTCCTACAGTAATAAGTACAACTTACCCTTAATACACACACTTCAACACTATCATTTTTCAAAGTCGTGACTTTACACTTTATTTATATGAACATTTGCATGTATTTCTTTCAGTGTTTTTTTTTATAGAGCTGGCAGGAAAACAACCAGCATCTGTCCTCCTCTTGGAGGCTCTTTGCAGGTGATCAAAAAGCTTAATTCCTGCCTTGTCGCGTGTTTTTGATCATATTGTCGTGCTGTGTGTTCAGGTGAGGCTCTGGGCTTAGACCGCTCCGTCGTGGTCCCATACAAGCTAATCCGTGGCAGTCCAGAGTCTGTAGAAGTCAGTGGCCTTCCAGATGATATCCCTTTCCGAAACCCCAACACCTACGACATTGTGTGCCTGGAGAAAATCCTTCAAGCCGCGGATGAAATAACATTCAACATCAAGAGCCAGCTACAGTGAGTGCTGAGACACCTGAATATTCAGCAGCCTGTTAGCTGTCACCACGCTGTATATTTCAGTGGGAATTTAAGGGTTTTTTGCTTCTTGGTAGTTAAGCTCATTATGGTTTATTTATGCTTTGGATTTAAATCCAGCCTCTGAGATGTCAAAGAATAAATCTTCCTCAGCTGTGAATGTAAATAATGTGAAAGAGTGAACAATATTTTGACTGTGAAGCAGTTAAGCTATGATGAAGGAATGGAGGCGAACATTTATATCATGCAATTGTTTATTTTTTTTTTTTGCTTTTTAGGTATGAAATGAGTCTGAACTGTACTCCAATGTGAATTAGTTTTGTTTTTATTTTATCAACTTCTATTATTTGTGTTTATTTTCATTATTTAAAGTACTGTGTCATCTGAAATTGTAGACTTCTTCTCTTCCACAGACCTTTTGCAGAAATCTGTAGCCAAGCTTGTAACACAGGTAGGTGTTTGAGTTTCTTGTGTGAATGGAAGCAGAGCGCTGTGCTGTAAAACCGAACGGAAGTGAAGTAAAAAATAAATAAATAAATAAACCAACAACATTTGCTTGGTGTCTCCAGTAGGAACAAACGCCTCCACCAATCGACGAAAGCGCAAGAGAGTCCAGGAGAGCAACCGAGTACCTGCCTCCTCTGACCTGGGGATATCAACCAATCAGATTCCAGTGATGGTGAGATTGAAAGTGTGACCTGAGATCTGTGCACGCAGGGTTGAAGCAAACAGGGAACAAGTCTCGTGACGCTCTATATTTGTACTAAAGTCAACAACAACAAAAATGGACAAACCCAAACTAACAATGAGTTGAGCCTTCTATTGCCATCATGTTTAATAGTTGTGTTCTCAGTAGAGAGCAATAATTATGCATCACTTTAAGCCTTATTATAATTTATACTGATGAGTTATATAGAAATTAACAGCCCGTATCAGAGAATTTAGCTATAGAGACCTTTTTGTACCAGGCTGTAAACATTTGGCTTAGGGTTTAGGGGGTTGCATTTTAATATGTGGCCTTACAGAGATTGACTCACTTCTGTAGCCAGCCTCCTGTGGCCGTTTAGGGAACTGCAGTTTCTGGAACTTCCTGTTAACTTCCATGTTAGCTTAATTTGCCGGCCAGAGTTTGCTGCATGGTAGAAACCCAGTGGGGCTTTGGGGGCTGACTGCTACGGACAGGGCAGGGAAGATAGGAAGCACTGAGAGATGGATGGGAATTATTATATAATTATAGAATAGTGCAGACTTACCCTTTAACAGTACATCGATGCTTCTCTTGAAACGTGTGAAAGTTATAATAGTTGAAATGTTACAAGTACGATTGCATCTTTATTCAGAGTATAATCTAACGTAATTCCTTCGAGCTAAATGTCTCCATGTAAACACACACCAGTGTGTTTAACTGTAATTACTGAATCCTAATATTAAAACTGCGTTTTAAGGCAAGGTCAACAACCTCTTTGTACTAATGAAAGCATTTTCTCCACCATTATGACTGACTTGCCTCTATCGTTGTCTTTCTGTGTGTGTGTGTGTGCCTGCAGCAGTGGCCCATGTACATGGTGGACTACAGCGGAGTGAATGTGCAGGTTCCCGGGAAAGTCAATTACTGAAGGACAAACCTGGACTGCAGCAAAGGGATAAAAGGAGGAGTTTGTCAAAGCGATATTCCCGACTCTTCAACACGCGACACTAACACTTTGCCAGAGTGCTAGGACTAAACAATCTCTCCAGACTGAATATAGAGAACTGAAGGTTTGACTCTGTGAATGACGTCCTGAGTGTTGAGGAACAACAGAATGTACGTGGATCAAAACGTTGCAGGGCTAAAAGCTTGGCTTGTTTTCTGTCTCCTGCCTCCACGCCGTGCCAGCAGGACAGCTGTCAGTTTTGGTTCTCCTCCTAAAGCTGATGGCGACAGTTACATTGTTTGTTTTTTTATGAAGCATAAAGACATTACTGAAGTCACATTATTTGCCCTTGCATTTACGAAGTGTCCATCCACTGAGTCACGTTGTCGGATCCAGCATTCGGTTGCAATGTATTACTGACAAAAAAAAAAATGTCTTTGATAACGATCTGGTTCCATAATATTCAGATATTTGTACTTTTTATTTATTATATTTATTGAAATATAACATTATGTGCAGGGATGTAAAATACATTATTCTGTTATACTGCTCCTTGAGGAACTATCACAGCACTAACACAGATGCTACTAGTCACTCAGTAACTACAGGTAACCGCTGAAATCAAATTAAACAGCAGCAACGAAGTGTCTTAATTGGGTGTCGTGGCGATCGCAAGCCATCAGAAATTAAAAGGAAACAAAACGGAAGTTTGCCTGACGGGTAGAACCTCTGCTCTCACAGCGGCAGGAAGTACCTGCAGTAAACACGAGACCTTCAGCAAACAGCCTCATTATGTTAGCACCACATTAACAATATGTAAAATATCTCATTTAAAGTCAGCCTGAATGTATCATGTAAAGGAAAGAATGGTATGTTATTCTGCATTGACTGTCTCTGGACTAATATTTAATATGCTGTACCTTAACGCCAATTAGGCCTTTGAAATAAAATGTGTTGCCTTGCACTTTCATTTCGTTGGAGCTTGTTTTTGATGTGCGGTACTGCGGCGGGATGTCTGCTCTACGGGGGGCCGTCTTCACTGCAAACTTTGTGTCTGTTATATCATGGTCAGTGAAGCTGTGGACAAAATTCAATGTAAGCAGCTAACTTTTCTTAGTCAATGTACTTTTGTCTCTCCCTGCCAAAAAGTTGATGAGCCATGTAGCCTGTAGAGTTTGTCAGTCCTAGTATAATGAGTATGATAAGTGAAAATGTAGAGCTGCAATGATTAGTCGATTAATATTTATCGTTGTGAGTAATTTTTCTTTAAAAATAAGTGAATATTACCTGGTTTCTTTAGTCTCCTGACAATAAACGGAATATCTTTGCGTTGTGGATAATACATTTGAGCAAGTCACCCTGGGCTTTGGGAGCTGACATTTTCTGGACCTCATCGAGTAACTGATAAAATGACATTAATATTGAAAATAATCATTAGTTGCATATTTATTCTAACAACCCTGCTGTGTAGTACTTACAGACACATTTATTCTTTCTCAAACAAGGTTTCTCCTCTAAAGTTTGGTGAACTGAAGTTATCTTGTTATCGACATTGTAACCTTGAAGGAAGGATTCATTACAGGACTGCTGTATTGGACTGCACTAGTTTTATCTAGCTGCACTCCCAGGAAACTGTCTTTTTATCCACATTCAGTTGGATCAAATCCACACACAGTACCTTCGCTGAGGTCAGAGTGCAGACCCCCGGTTCCCCATCCTCCAGTCTGCGTTTCTCCCCCATCATCCATAACTCTTCACTTCCTGCTCAGGTACCTTGAACCCAAAGCACTGCTGTGCACTTACAGAGTCCATTACTACAGAGATAGTGAGACTCCCTGCCAAGTGCTCATGTTCTTCTCTTAATGGTTCTACTACACATAAATGTTTGAATGTTTAAAGACGCATTTATTCGGCAGGAAGAGCCGGTTCGAGCCCCGCAGCTCCGCCGAAGACGCTGATGGGAAACTACCTTAACAGTAGGCCACCGACCTTTAACTTGAATGGATTTTGTTGGAAAGAATACCCTTTTGTTTTTAGGTTTCATGATTATAAAGTCTTCCTCGTAATGGTCATGGCTGTCCCTCCCCCGTGTCTCCTGTCTGTCTCTCTGGGCCTTTCTCATTTCTCGAATTTGTGCCTCTCTCCCCCGTGTCTCTCCTCACATCTAAGGAGAGGCGCCGTGAGAAAGAGAAAAGGCCTTGTGTCTGTGTGTTGTGGGTGTGACTTCTGTTCTGGCTCCCGGCCGCCCTGCTCTGCACACCTGTCGGGAATCACCCCCCCCCCGGTTGACTCACCT